GTTGCTGATTTATTTGACGATCAACTTTTCTTAGAGCTATGGGAATTATTGTTATTTTCATTTCCATATGAGTAAGCATTATTAAGTTTTGAACATTGGAGTTAGGTGTCTTAATTCTGCCAGGACAGACAAGACTTTTAGCATGTCACTCATAATTTGAGTTATGTACATATTATAGAAAAGTAAATTGTTGTCGGAAAAGAACAAACATTTCTCCATAGACTGATATAAAATTAAATAAAAAAAAAGGATCATCTAATCGTTCAGAAGAAGCATGATGATAGAGAGGGGGTTAAATTTTATTGAATTTTACTTTATTCCATATTGTGCCACTTCATGTATTTTTTTTCTATTTCTGCCGCTTACATAGAAAATTGCATATTTTTTAATGAAAAGGCCGGTTTCGATATGAAAACCGTCAAATCTGAAGATAAAATATATATATGATTGGATTCATGTCGACATGAGCCATCTATTGATATGTTTTACACAAAAAAGCATTCTAGCTCATCTTGTACTTTTTAGGATGCGGGTGTGCGTATAGATGTTTCTCTTTTTAAGTCACTCCCACACCCATACCCACATCCTCTTATAACAAATGACTTAATACTAGTTTGATATTGATCTATGAGAACATATATCAAACTAAAATTTTTTTTGAGTTTTTTTAATATGATATATACAGGGCGAGTTATAAATAGCACTACGATAAAAAAAAGAATAAAATCTAACTGAGTTGGTTGAATTAAATGGGCTGATGTTTTCATTAGTAGTAGAAATTTACTCAAAGTTATTTTTCATACAGATAATGTAAACTAATACTACTATCAAATATTATTGTTGAAATAATGAAAACAATGTGATCTGTTATCAAGAAAAAATATATGTGTAGCATTTCATAGATAATATTCAATTATTATCTAAGAAAATAAGAAGAAGAAATCAAAACGAAATTTATAAATGACACTATATTAAAGTAAATAGAGCAAATTTTCAGAACCACTTGGTTCATTAAAAAATAAGTGATGACAAAATTTCGAATTCTCACACATTGAACATTGGTTTTTTGCAAAGTAATGATACATTTTTGAACATCTTAATTAGCAACTATTAGTTTTCAAGAACCCTGCACTGTATGCATCAATATAGTTCGTTTTCATTGCTTCTTATTATTATTCTCTTCGATAACAACTTAAAATTATCTATGGAACGCTTCATATATATTTTTCTTAGTTGTCAATAGGTAAATTTTCTTTAATGAGGTCAAAAATATAACTTAATAGTAGTATTTGTTTCCGTTACCCGTATTAAAAAAAAAGAAAGCCTTAAATAAGTGTCTATGACAAACCAAAAAATCAGTGCATTCGAGTGAACCGTAGTGAAGATATTTCAATTTTTTATCGTAGCACTATTTATGACCCACCATGTATATGTACATTCTTACACATCAAAATCAAATTGATAAGTCATTTTCTTACAAAATGGTAACAACGTTGAATTCGTATAAGAATTCGTCTTAAATTATATTTCAAGTAACCTCGATCTATGGAAACATGATTGTTCTTGCTCTAAGCATATACTTGATTAAAAAATCGAACGCGTAAAAACGTATTAAACGAATATATATTCGTTCGAAAATAATTTTACGTATTTTGAACACGTGAGAAAAACATACAGTAAGATCCGAAATGCATCTTTGAGTTTTTGCGATCAAAATTCGTATGGAATTAGCATTGCTTGTGCAAGGATTCGAGATGCCTATTCTTGAAAACCGTCAAAAATGTTCGTGAACGTCACCATGAAGGTTCTAAGAGCAGGCACGAATCAGTTTCCTAGTATTTACATGCAATCTTGACAAGACTATAAGCTTAAGATTCTGACATATCAGGTTCGTATCTTACTAAGCTTCTCGTCTAGAGTTCATAGAAACCATTCTACTGTTTTCAGGCGATGCTTTGTAACAGAACTGTTCGAAAATCTGATAATAGCTTACCAGTGCCCCTTCTACCTCTCTCAATAAGACCTCACTTTCCAAATCATGAAAAAAATCTTCAGCTCGTGCTTGCAGAAAGCTGACTAAATCGTTCTGTTTCCTATAGAGAACTTGGATAAGACTAGCATTTGTCTTCTCGGCATTTCAGGAATGCTAACTTCTACAACGACCATCTTACAGCATTGTAAGAAACTTCGATAAGGCCATAGTCATAAGTAGACGACATCAGATTCAAAAGGTCTTCGATGGAACTCTATCACGTTTTCTCCATTTCGCATGCATACAAACTTTCTTTTGTTCGTGCTCAGATCCTTGTTAGAATCGTCTTTCAAATAGTCTGCAATAAACTAGCAATAACCTAATAAGATTTCATCCGCATCTTCTATGTCCAGAGGAATTTTGTCACAACCATGTGAAACCTATCCTGAAAAATACGTACTGCTGACGATGCACATTTGTTTTCCCAAGAATTCGAAATCCTCATTGTTGACATCCTCCTTACAATAACTTTTTAAAATCTTCTCAGGATTTTTTCAATTAAGGAGTTAGACAGAGTTCATTGTTTTATTGCTTAAATCCTTCAAAGATTTAATCTTGCTAGTATCCTTTCTTATAATCCTGCAAAGATTCTTCATTCACGATTACGACTCAGATTTCTATGTTTTTCCATCGAGATCCTGGTGAGGATTAGCATTAGTCTTTCTCCAGATGTCGTTTTCATCCATCGCGAAGATTCTACGTTTTAGGAATTGAAATATATTGGCAAGAACTTGAACAAATTCCTGCAAACACAGATTGTCATAAATTCTACTACGGATTTCTCAAGGAATGAACAAGACTGAAATTCGAAGGAAGTGACACAACCATAAGAATTGTTACGAAGTCATTTTTTTCATAGGAAACTAGGGAAAAGTTTCCTAATTTATATCTGCTTCGAGAACCTTTCCTTGTTTAGAGTCTGTGAGAGGAGGACATTCTCAAAATTTTTACCAAATTCTCTCGAAAGAAAAGGATGTCTCATTTGTAGCAGTTTCCTCTATGGGAGAGACGAGAATCTCCTCGACAACGATGATTGTTTTTCTTTTTCGTTCATTGTAGTAATTCCAGAAATTCCGGCCAATGCTCGATGGGTACAGAATGGGGTGACTGTCGCTGGAGGTCACGGGTATGGTAGTGACACCAATCAACTCAACGAGCCTCTCGATCTCTTCGTTGATGATGATCAAACGATGGTCATCGCTGATACGTGCAACCATCGAATCATTCAATGGAAACTGGGTGATACAAATGGACAAGTGGTAGCTGGTGGCCCTGACCAAGGAAATCGATTAGATCAATTGTATTGGCCAACCGCTGTGTTAATCGACAAAGAGACAGATAGTCTCATCATTTGTGATCGAGGAAATCGACGAGTCGTACGATGGTCTCGTCGTAGTGGCACAACTCAAGGAGAAATCCTCCTCGACGACATCCATTGTTGTGGATTGGCCATGGATGATCAGAGATATCTCTACATCTCTGACTTCGTCACACATAAAGTAACACGACATCAAATAGAAGACAACAATGGAACTCTCGTGGCCGGTGGCAATGACAAAGGTGATAGTCTCAATCAACTCAATTATCCAACCTTCGTCTTTGTCGATCATCAACAGGCTGTTTACGTGACAGACAACGAGAACCATCGTGTGATAAAATGGAATAAAGGTGCAAAAGAAGGAATCGTGGTCGCTGGAGGTCAAGGCCAAGGGAATGCTCCGACACAATTGTGGTATCCTACAGGACTGTACGTGGATACATTGGGTACCGTCTATGTAGTAGACTCGTTGAATCATCGAGTGATGCGTTGGCCTAAAGAAGCGAAACAGGGCAGTATCATTGTGGGTGGAAATGGTCAAGGACAAGAAGCAAATCAGTTCAACGCTCCCAGGGGTTTGTCTTTCGATCAACATGGCAATCTCTATGTCGTTGATTATGGAAACAATCGAGTGCAACGATTTTCTATTGAATAGATTTATTACAATAGCTTATTTTTTGTCTTTCCTTCAAATAAATCAGGTTGAATTGATGAAAGAAATGGCAATTCTATATGCACGTGCGCGACCAGGAACCACTCTGGTGGAGCCATAACGAGTGCGAAGCTCATGCACGCACAGAACAGACTTAAATCATTCATATGAGATGTGTCAAAGCATCTGGGAAGTCTGGTCAGGATGTGGAATGTGGGAGTGGGGCGTGATGTGGGCGTGGGTGTTAATTGTCTCTTTGATCACACGCACACACACATCCTCACTCACCCCACCCACACCCCGACATGATAGAAACAACCGTTGCCGTGAACGGCTAATAATTATCTACTCACACATTCACACCCTTTTTATTTGATTTTTCATATTATTCATGACTAATTAATATAGTTATATTGATTCTAAACATACCTGAACATGATCTCTGGCTGATCGAAACATGTCGTATGATATTCCTTGAATCACTTTTCCACCTCTGTAAACACACCCACACCCTCTAATGGGTTGCTTTTTATAGTTAATATTTGAGAAAAAAGAACGATTTAAATCACTATTATACGCTTTCTAACAACATTAATATCGAGAGAACGTTTTAATAAGTAAAAATGAATATGAACAAGGAAGTACTAGAAACGAAAGACTCTAAATTTAAACAAGTGCCAAATTTTTAGATGCAAAAGATAAGACTAATCGTACTTGAAGAAGAATTATATATTGTAAAACAAGAGTAAATAGATAGTCATTTTTTAGGATTGAATTGAAATAGTTTGATCAATATTAGTTTCATTTCTTAAAAAAGTTCACTTTAACATCAAATATGTTCAAATGAATGTAAGATATTTAGAACTTATCTCTGTTATTTATTTTAAAAAATAATACTAAGTATCTATAAGGAAAGATTTAAATTAAAATGAACATGCACAAAAATGTTATGAAAAATATAGTATGATAATTTTGAAAATAAATAATTACAATGTCATTTATTTATTTTTAAAGATTTTAGCTACTACTTGGCTAACAATTTCACCGGGTATTGTCCAAATAGCAAGTAAAAGAAAAATAACACCAATAAAAATAAAAACTCCAAGAATAATTGCCCATTTGAAATTACGCCATATAACAAAACGTAATGTTTTCCATGGTGATGTAAACCAAAGAAATGATGTTTTTGGACGACTAGAATAAACAGAATTTATTTTATAAAATCAAATATTAAAACAAACTTTGGTTCTTCAAGTGGTTGTGGTGCTTCCCGTGCTTTTCCAACTGGATTTTTTTCTGCTTCTTCAGCAGTAACAAGTGAAAATTCAGCTTCAAGTTTTCCCTTTTATAATAAAAAAGTAAGATCTTGATTTTCTTTTCTTATTTATTTAATATTGACTCACTCCTAATAAAGTTTTATCACGAATTTCACCTTCTTTCAATGGAGCAATCATTGGCCACCAACCTAAGTATTCAAAATAGACATTCAAGAAAATTTAATCGAAAAAATAATAAATCAAATCTTCATACCAGCAATACGTTTATTAGCAAATAAATCAATTCCTCTATGTTTTGGATTAAGTAGAATATCAGCTTTACATTGTTTTGATATTTTAGCACCGAGTAATACATGTGTCAGATTAAGAACACATTCACCTAGAAGAATTATAATTTATTCAATGATAAATAAAGAATAAACAAACCAAGAAAATCATCAGCTGAAAAAAAATCTGCATTATAAACACGAATAATAATTCTTGGTGGAATCTTTTTTGTTGTGTTACCAACTTGAAATACGGAGTCTTTTGCTTCAAAAACAACTTTTTCTTCTATATCTAAATAGTCAAAATCGAATACGAATCGCCAATTAAAGTTTCCTTCGCCTGTTAATGATCTATTATTAAAAAAAGGATATATTTATTTATTTATTTTGTTAATTTTAATGGATAAAACGAACCGATAATGAATATCTGTTTGTTGTGCATCAACTCTTTCTCCTAGGATCCATGCTTTAACATAAATATCTGAAGTTTTCTCTCCCGTAAAGAAATTATCATCATTTAATTCTACGTCACTTGTATTCCAGATAGTTACACGTAATTGATAAGAAGTAGGTTTAGGTGGTGTTATATCAATCATAGGACTTGAAGGTGGTCGTGACATCGGAAAAAAATCTAACCACATTTCTAATTTTCCTTGCTCAATTTCAGGAGACTCTGGATTAAAAAGTGATCGACATTCAATATGTTCAGCAACCAAAGTACATTTCTACATAATATTGAATAATAAGAGAAATGAAAACATAGGAAGATATTTTTTTACCGGATCAATTTTTCTTCCCCATGCATGTAGAGCAGTTAATGCTGTATTTTGTCGTATATATTCTTCGGGTGATTCATGATGGGCTTTTCGATATAATGTATCTACGGACGATTTTGTATTCACGATAAATTCAACACATGCAGGATCACATTCGAAAGTTTCATTGGCGACTGTTACGGAACGAAAATCTGCCGTATAAACGGGTACATTAATATTTGTTGTACGACATAATTCAGTTAAAATTATTGTTGGTTTTTTTGTATCACGCCAAGTATTATAACCCGCACTAAATATAGGAAAAATCGAATGCTTAATATATTAATTTAGATTGTTTAATAGACCTATCATATCTTTTTGGTAAACCACACGTTGCTCTATGACATGAAAACCAACGATTTTCAATATCAATTTTTGTTTCAGCAATCATATCATTGGAACTTGTCATGTCCCAATCCCATAGTTGTATACACATTAAGGATTGAAGAGGTAATTGAACGTCAAATTCATATGATCTATTTAAACAAAAAATAAAAATAATTATCTTTTTTGTTTTTTTTTATTTTGTTGAATACTTACTTGCCAAAAACAGGTTCTAATGTATTAAGAAGTCTTCCGTCAACATCATCAATTACAGTATCATTGTTTAATACAATTTTTATAAATGGATCTGCTTTGCCTGATCGATCACAACCACGATATAATAGAGCTTTTATTATATACAATCGACATTTTAGTATTATAGGATGTTTATTAAAATCTAATCGAAGCATTAGTTCATTTGCTGGCATATTTGAACTACTTTTTGATCTTGAGAGTGCTTTCATTTGAGGATTTGAAAGAGCTCGATTAGTAGACATTGAACACATACCATCTGTTTCATCCATTGGAATTTCTTGAATACGAAATTTACCCTAAACGAGAAATAGATAATGAAGAGAAAACGCAAATAAGTTTTCATGGCAACAAAAAACCATTGAATGTTTATACTGATGACTGGACAAAAAAAAATTAAGAGTTTGTTGCAATATTGTTTTTGACTAATTTCATTATTATGCTAATGAAAATAATGGACATAGTTACAGTAACATTTTACAAGGAATGATTTTTCCATACTCATAATGCAACAGAGATCTAATACATTCTACTAGTAATATGTATTAATTCTATAGAATGTAAACAATGATCCACAAGTGATTATTCATTATTATGCGAAAAACAAGCAAAGATTGGAGCTGAATTCTAACTAGAGGCCGACCAACTTCTCATTCAAAGTTCAAAAAAAATAGACGAAAGCACTATACAAACAATTAGATTCTATCAAAAGAGTTGCTCGAGCAAATTAGATCATAATATAAGATCAGTTTCAACAGTTTAGTTTCTAGAAGTGAGTTGTCCGAAAAAATTTTGTCCTGTTTCGGGAACTACATTTCAATAAGAGAAGAAAAAGTTTCTTTAACTCAGAAATGTTTTTCTTAAAAATAAAACAAAAGTTGTTTGTTCAAACACATCAGTCCAGATCTGTGAACCTATTCGAGAATTTCTCAAATCCGAACTAGAATTGAACTTGCTAACCTCTATTCGTCACTATTGGGAAAATTCCAATAGTTTTTATGGTTTTCTGCTCACTCATACTTAGTACTCATGGAATCGAATGTAATTACTCAGTCAAACAAGATAATTGCTCATCTATAGACATGAACAATCTATCATTGTGAATATATATTTTGATTTTTTTGTGTATTTAGTCTGTTCATTATTGTTATTTATCGACAAAATTCATTCATGCAATGTATTCTTCTGATAGATTATATACTTTAAAAGTATCCTATAACAATGCATGTTTACTAACTGTCAATTATGAGATAATATTAGATGCCAGTTCTCCGATGTCTAACTTCGTTGCAGAACTCTAATTTAGTCTGTTTTAACGTGAAAGAAGGAACATTTCGTCTGACGACAAATGATATCTGTATGTAGAATACTGTCAAAACATGTCCATTTTCTTACTCGTCCTAATGTGAACTGAGAAGTAGAAAGCTAGAAGACTTAATGCATAGAAAAAGTGTGACACCACCTGACACAAAATACTATAGCATAGTAAAACCGTTTTTTTGGAGTTGAAATCGATCTATTCAAGACTGAGAATATTAATTTAATAGACAAAATTATATAAAACTTCATAAAAGAGAAGTAAACCGTTTGAACAGTGGATTTGGATGAAAAACCGACGACATGGATACATAGCGACATAGATGATCTGAGAAGTATTAAACATTCGGTTTTTTGTACAATACAAGAGAGTAGCTATAATTTTATTGTTTACACAGAAGAATATCATTACCGTGAGGAGCTCGTCGGGTCCGAAATTTTCGCACCATGACCTGGTGTATCGGACGTATTTGGAATTCGGTTGATCAAACTTTTTCGCACTTGGTCGAGCCGTACTGTGATACTTTCAATGAAGTTTTCTAATCGAAATAGGATAGCCGCCCCGAAGATACGAGGTACTTTTTTTCCCCGTTTTTTGTATTCAGTAACTAGTACATCCTATACATGTCTCAGAGAAGTCGTTTGAGAAATGCATAGGATAGAACCGATCGGGTCCAAAGTTTTCGCACTCAGATCCAGTTAACGAAGAAATTTCAGACCTAGACTCGAATGGGTCTGGATTAGGGACCTGCGGAGTCAGGTTTTTTTATTCCGAAACCCGACTCCGACTCCGAAAAATTTCTTCTTTACAACTCTGACTCCGACTCCGACTCCGGAAATTTTTATTTTTTGACTCCGATTCCAACTCCGAAAAACTCCGAGAAACTCCGAATTTTTTTTATCAATAAAAGGAAATCTCAAATATGTTTTATTGTTTAATTTACAACATGCGGAAATCAATAATAAGGCTGCTACATTACTACCATGAAGTCTCTCTAAAGTGAGCACGATCGAGACTATTGAAAAATGTTCCTTATAATCAGATGTTCGCCTTCGGAAGGTCCATTTTCAGCAAAAATTGCCTTTCCGGACTCGTGAAAAACACTAATAATAGCGAGGTTTTCACTGTAGAGAGGCGCTCACTACTAGAGGTTTTACTGTATTATTTTTTTATACTATTACCGGGTAACTGGTAATAATTTTATATACTTTATTGCTAGTAATAAACTAATAACAATATTGCTTCTATGAGTTACTAGTTTTAATACTATACTACTTTATAACATTTTTACTTTCTTCCCTCTGTTACTTTCGCAGATTATTTCTAATTACATATAATAATTAATAACCTTATATGCTATTACTTACTACCAGTAATAGTAATGTAGTCCTGAACGATAAAGGAACAAACGAGTGAAGGAATATCTAAGAATCTTTAATAGATTAATTTGAAATTTCTTGTACATTTGTGGTTCAGTGGAAATAAAAAACAATCACTGACAAGTTTTCGATATGTACTATGTTCAAGGAATCAAAAATTGGTGATCAAGAGAATTGTAGTACTTCTAATGAAATTGCAATATATTTTCATTGATGACATTATGCTTTTACGTAGCCAGTCTTTTGAACGATACAGCCAAAAGATTATCAATGTGAGGTTTTTCCTTGAAACTCGTTCTTAATATATGTAGCAACTGTTATCTTTCTTTTTTTTGTTTGTTAAGCTGAAGAATAAAGATGCTCTTATTTGAAACAGCAAAAGTTATTCAAACATGGTCAGGACTTTGACTCCGAAAATTTTTTTCAGAAAACCCGACTCCGACTCCGACTCCGAAAAATTTCTTTTTGCTGACTCCGGCTCCGACTCCGACTCCGACGGAGTCGGAGTTGAAATCGGGTTTCGGAGTACTCCGCAGGTCTCTAGTCTGGATCTGCGACCAATCTGACAGACTCTATTGCCGTAGCGTATTTCTATGAAGAATAAATATTATAAAACACTAACTTTAAACTTCGTATAGATACGTTTTTCATCACCGACTTCATCTGACCGACTTGAACCTTTACCTTTATATCTAAATAAACAAATGAATGTCTCAAATAAAACTATTCCCAAAAATATCTTACAATGGAAATGTATCAAGGCAATCATTAAAGCCTTCATAACCGTAAACATTTTCTAACTCTGTTTCAATTATCTAATGAAAAAAAAAAAGAAAAGGTCTTAAACAATATATAATTTGTTTTTCTTACATCAAATGTTTGTAATAATGTTAATTCTTTAAGACGATCAGTTTCAATAACATCTAAACTTTCATGAAGAGCTGATTTCAACTAGAATATTAAATTATAGAAATATTCTATGTAAAAACCATAAAAAAAAGTATTTGAATTTTACTTTTTCAGTAACTTCCAACCGTTCCATGTGTTCAACAGCTAAGTGTCGTAATGTTTTCTCAGCTTTTTCAACACGTATAAATAGTTTTTTAGCTCTATTCCATAAATTCCAACGCTTTTTGGAAACAAGTGCTGCAAGAAATTTATTGTTCGAGAGAAATCAAATAAAAACAAAAGCTTTCAAACAAACTTGATTCATGTTCAAAAAACTCGGCATAAGCATCATAACTATCTTTTAAACCTTCATCCATATCCATAGCACATCGTTGTATTAATTCCTATTAAAATATTAAAAAAAAAAGGAAAAATCAAGTAAAAATAAATCATTTCATACTAGTTTTGCTTTTGATGCATAATATTTATGCCACCATCCAGCAGTTTTTTCCATATCATTTCTTTTTATTTTTTCTAAGGTTGTTAAAGGCTCATTTCCATGTTTTCTATTACTGGGTGATTCAGGTGTCGAATCAGATTCTTTTAAACGATCTTTTTCTTTATCTGATTTTCCACCAGATTCACCACCTCCCTGATTTTTTTAAAAAGATAATAATTACTAATAAAAAAACAAATTTTGTTTTCTAATTACTTTTCCTCTTTGTCCCAATGAATCAGCATGAATAATTGGTGCTTGACTATCACTATCGCCTCTATCACGACCTGCATTGCTTTCAAACTCAACTAATTTTGTTTTTCTTAAACTCACGTCCTGTGCCACTAGAGAAGCTAAAATTAAACCAATGATTGAGATATAAATTCAAAAACATAAAAATATACCTTCATATGCATCAATAACCGATTTTCGAACACGATTAAAATTGTATGGAATTCTTTTTGATAATTCATTTACGGCATCAGCTACAGCTTGATCATTTGGTGTTAAAAGATGACTAGGTTTTTCAAGATATTTTTGTAGATTAGTTACAACTAGATTGCCAATGTTTTCTTTCATTCCAAAAAGACGATGTTGTACACAAAGTATACTTAAATGTGGCCAAAAATTATCATCATCTGGTAAATTCTGTAAAACACAAAGAAGAAAAAACATATTTTTCAAAAATGAAAAATAGTTGGATTTGTATTGTTTTCATACAACAAGAAGTGTATATTTGTCTGTTTCAGTAGGTGATGATTCAAAATTTGGATATTTTTGTACATTTTTTATGGTTCTTGTTACACGTGCACCAGAACATTCAATTGTTACTTCAGCTTCTTGAACAGTTTGAAGATTAATTGCACGACATTCACGTAAACCCCAAAACATAATCTGTTCCAAAATACTGATGTTTTTTTATTCAATTAAAAATTAAATATCAGAATTACCTCAATTTCATAAGTTTTAAAAGGAGGTATCAGTAATAATGGGATTTGATAAATTTTATTTTTCATCATTTTAGTAATATAACTTGTCGGTGGATAATTATCTGTTGTTATTGGAATTTCTTCAAGTTCAAATGTTGTTTCAGATTGTCGTGTTTTCTATTATCAAAAAAAAAAGAATCCAAAAGTTTTGAACGAGACAAATTTCTTTTTTTAAGATAAATTTACTGAATTAACTTCAACAAGTTCAAATACAGCTAAAAGTTCTCCAGCTTGTTTTTCACCAAGTTTAAATTTATACCATTTAAATAAAGACTGTAGCGGCGGATCATCTCGTTTAAATAAATCAAGTTTAGCTGTTGTGGAAAAACGTCCAATTAAATCTGAATTATCATCATCCTAAAATTAGTAACAAAAAACCCATGTCATTCAAACCACTCGAAAACTGCCGATTAACCATGATATTTCTGCTTAATTTTTTTAGTATCTTAGTGCATGAATATTTTAAAACTCTTAGAAAAATGTTAGATTTCACTCGAAACCGCAGATGGGTGTGGGTGTGGGTGAGGGTGTGAGTGTAGGTAAGGAGAAGACAATACTCACACCTACACCCACACCCACCCCACCCTTTCATTGATCACGAAGAAAAATCAATAGAAATCGATGTTTTTTCCGCAATTTTTAAACAGAACAATCTATGTACTACTAAATGTAGTGATTGACATGTACGAGTGAACTGAGAATAACTTGATATAGTTGTTTCATGTTGCAATAAAATATACGTGAGTACACTAATGAGAAGTATTATATAAATTTGCTCACAACATATATTGAAGATGATTACCATTTTAGAGAATAAGAAATAGAGTACAGTAGTTTCAGTTTTTAAATACTATTCTCAGCTGCACACATTTTAAAGAGTATTGAAGAATATATTGTATTATACATGCATTCACAATCGACATATAAATATGAGCAAATGAGACCTTTAGATGAATACATGAAAAAAAGCTCTGAGAGAATAATCTATAAAATACTAAGTTTTTAAATTAAAGAATACTGAGATACATATATTTTAATTTATGTTATCAAACATATCAATTAAATCAAAATAATTACTATTTCAATGTAATTAAATCTTCTCAAAAATTCAAAAAGTTAATTGAATTAAACTCGTTGATAGTTATAATTATGGTTGATGCTAATACATTAATTAACTTTTTGAACCCAAAAAGTTGATCAGTTATAACTCAAAAGTTATGACTCGAGTTATAACTTGATCAATCTTAATTTCTCCATTTATATTATCGTGCTATTGGACATGCTTTTTTTCACTTTTAATCTGTCTACTTACTTCATCATAATCATAACATTCGACAACAACATTTCCAATAATTTCCTCAGCTGTTTCTCGAGTTCCAACATGCATCAAATTGTGAAAAGCTAACGTTAAATTCCATTGTGGACATAATGATTCTAAGAGAATCTATGCAAAAAGAAAAAGAAATTAAAAAAAAAAGAAATTACGAACACAAGATGATTTACTGGTGTTGTTTGTGTCTCATTACCAACTGTAATACTTAAATAAGGATCTGATAAACCTGTTTCATCCCCAGCAAGTAATGCTCTTGCTTTATAACAATGACATCGCAATTCATAAAAAGTTCGTTCTAAAAAAAATATACAGTATAGCCCCTTTAAAGTGAACACTTTTGAAAAGCCCGGAGGGTCTCTACTGGAAGGAGATTAGGTCTTTTCTAAAAGTAGTTTTTTTTTTACAAAGAATAGACGCGTTTTCTAGATATCTAAAGAGTGTTACTAAATAAGAAGATTAATTATTGCTTATTTTTACTTGTCTTTTCATGCATTTTTGTTCTTACAAAAATTTACAATTGTTAACATATAGTAGAATTATTAAAGCTCCCGACACATTAGAAGACCCGGGGTCTTCTAATATATTCCTTAAAAAGACCTAATTTATTCCTCGTGCGTAGAATGAGAAAGAATCATATGTTACCCTGTGATAAGGAAGAAAGTGATTGTTAGTAAGAAGTGTTCTAAGAACAGTACAGGCAATACTTCCTGACATCTTGGTACAATGTCCAGTAGAATTCTTTTTTCTAAAGAATTTTATTGTCACTGGCTACATTTTACCTTCTAAATAACTGAAAAAAGAAAATGACCTTCTTTTTGTCGAGTTTACTTAAGGCAACTGTTTATGCTGAGGTTTGATTAGTACAGATGGACTTAGTTCCGGTAAAATCTATCACTAACATAATTATTGCTCACAAATTAACTTCGATGAATATGATTGTCTTCTGAAGAAACAGTTTGTAGAAAAACGGCAGTTGAATACATATTCTGTGTTTTCTTTTATGTCTGTTTCGAAAAATGACTTTGGATCGTCTTGAAAAAAGAAATTCGTTCTCAGACTCATAAATACTCACCGAACAAATTTCGAAGTGTATATGTAAAGTTAGGTTTTCTTCAACTATGAAAATCTGTTTTGGAATAAAGACGTTTTTGAACCTCTAGAAGAAATTTGTAGATCAACAAGCTTTTTAATTAATACAAAACGAAATCTTATCAAATATGTTACTATTTTACAAAGATCCCTTCATGTGCTACACCAGCGAACGTGGACTCGGTCCACTAGATCATATGGTCATAGAACGGTTTTTCCACATATAGAAATTAATGAATTTTCCCAGAATAAGCTGCAAAGAAGAACTAAAATGACTTCACGATATGCTTTCAATAAAAAGCACATTACTTTATAAACGATTGTTTCCTATTAGCTGTTTCTCAAGATTTTTCTAACTTGGAACTGACAGATCGTTATCACGATGAAAGTAAAATATTGTTCATACTAAACTTAGATATCATTATAGACTTAAATTCTAAAAAATGCTACTAGGTCCCAGAAATTATTTTAACAAAAATCGATTTTGTGAGGGGGTCTTCTAATGCGTCGGGTGGTTTATGTCATTAACACCATTAGAACTTTCCAAAGTATTCACCATCGAACTATATGACGATATCCACTATGCAGACGTTCGCTTTCAGCAAAAATCGCTTACAAGGAAATTTCCTCAGATGTTCCCTTCCGATTTCAATGATTGTTTGTTTATAGTACTACGTAGTGTTCTAATAAAAACCCTAAAATGATTCCAGTTGCTATTCAGATTTGACTGAGGATCGAGTTTTGCATATGTCTATTTTCTAGAAGTCCTAGTTTTTTGTTAAATTTTGATCTAAAACTTTCCCTATATAGAGAAATCAACGAGACTAGCTTCTATAAAAAAAATTCAAAAGTTTTGAACAAAGTCTCTGTGAGATATGAAGCTTTCAAAAAGTTTCAGAGTAAAATTCGAGTTTTCAAGAAACCTGAAGTCCTAGAAAATAGACATTAAAAACTCGATATCTCAGTCAAATCTCAAGAGAAATCCAAATTCTTTTAGATTTTTTTATTAGAACACTATGTAATATCTATAGGCAAAAACAATCATTGAAATAGAAATGGGACACATCTGAAAAGGCTTCCTTCTTAGTCGGATTGCGTAGTGTTTACTATAGTATATTTTATTGTATTTATTTCTCGCTTTTTCTTTCAACTTTCTATTGATTTCTAACCGTTATATCTTATAAATTTCAGTTGAGGATCTAATGGTAATGGTGGCATATCAAAACCACCAGGTAAGTATTTAAATATCGATGGTTCATATTCTCCAATTCCAAGCCAAAGATAGATTTGTACTTTTGCATTTGTTGATGGATTTAATGGTTTATCTGTTGAACGTGGTGTCTAAAAATAAATTATAATTATATTTCTCTCTCTTTTTTTTTGTCAGAACAAAGAAATAAGAATGGTAACAAACTTTGAGAAAAATAGTTTGTACACGTCCATTATATAAACCTTTTTCACCTTTACATAAATTAAAAAGAATATCTTCAGGTTGAAAACGTGCATAAGCTACACGTTTTGAGTCACATATCATCCATAAAAATACATCAGGTAAAGATGGTTGTGCCTTTCAAAAAAATAAAAGAAAAATAATTTTATTCTTTTCTTTTCTTATGTAAATTATATTTACATCAGTAGCCATTTGTCGAAATGCACGTGCTATTTTATTCAATTCTTTAACGATTTCATATCGTTTTGATTCATCAAAATTAACTTCTTTTGAAACCCAAGTTTTAATTGATTGAATATTATGAAGAATTTTTTTATATCGTTTGATATCTAATTGATTCATTTTAATATTTGGTTGAGAAGAATTTAATAATTCATATAAATTCGGATGAATTACAGGTATAATACCAGAAATTTCACGCTCTTTTATGTGTTCAGCACATCCACATGGTAATGTATAAACATAATTTTGAATTTTTCGATATTCTTCCATGAGAATTTCATTTGACATATTAGAACTTATTTTCAATTCAAATTCATGAATTTGTTCATACTAAAAATAAGAAATAAGAAAATAAAAATATTCTTAAATAAACTTATGAAAATTAATACCAAATATGCAGATGCATTTTTTAGGCGATTTGATAATGTCATACGATAGATATAATCATGAAATATATATTTTGTAAATAATATTGGTTTTTTTAAATCAATTGGTAAACGAAAATAATCTTTATTATTATCAATCGAAGTACGTGGATAAGGACCTGTTAACGATGAAACAGGATTATGAATTGCAGCAACTAATTCTTGTGGATTTAAATATCCACTTGGACCAATACTTAATTCAAAAGAAATCGTTCCATTACCAAATGATTTATCAATCATACTAACATCATAAATACAACCAAATAAAAGAAATGAACGTTTCACTGGAAATATATGCTATGAAAAGAAAAAAACAACATTTATTGAAATTACAGGGCTTGTCAAAATTATAGCCCCCCCCCCCCTTTGTCATCGAATTTTTTCAATGAAAACGAGCTGCTGGATCAAATGTAAGTAGTGATTTCGATAGCTCTCAAAGTTCTCTATCAGTTGCAGTATATTGGGAAATTTCAAAGATGACTTCACCAGCAGATTTTTTCGAAAATACGTGAGACACCCTTTTTGACTTTTGAAACGGTTTATCAGACATCATTTTCAATGCATCCATTTGATAGAGCTGAAAATTCTGAGCAAAATGAGTGGTCGCACGACTCTCCATGACTTTCCAGTGAGAAATTATAAGTATGTGAAAAGTCGCAAAAATCATCAAAAATTGTGGAAAATCGACTAAAAACACGTTTTTTTTTTGCTTTTGACATACTTATAATTTCTTACTGGAAAGTCGTGGAGAGTCGTGCGGCCACTCATTTTGCTCAGAATTTTCAGCTCTATCAAATGGATGCATTGAAAATGATGTCAATATCTGCTGGTGAAGTCATCTTTAAAATTTCCCAATATACTGCAATCGATAGAGAACTTCGAGAGCTATCGAAATCACTACTTACATTTGATCCGCCAGTTCGTTTTCATAGAAAAAATCCGATTACAAAGGAGAGCCTATAATTTTGACAAGCACTGTATATAAATATAATAATATTAAAAAATATTTTGAATAATACTTACTGCTTCAGGAAATTGTACACCAGTTTCTTTGTGTATATTCATGTTTGATGTATTTTCTCCAGTAATTGGATGAGATTCAATAGCCATAAGTATTCGTCCTTTATAACAAACAGCTTCACCCATTCCTTCACTAAGACCATCTTTATCTTTACTTATTGTATATTCTCTTGGACTTCCATATAAAAACATCCATGTTGGACCTAATGTTGGTAAAAAACCAACTGATGGATTACTTTCACTTATTAAAAAAAGATCAATAAAAAATGATGAAATAATACGATCTTTTTGAACAGCTGCACGATCTTTAAGAGTTATTTTAATTGTTCGTACAAGTGGTGGAAAACGTCCAATTAAATAAACTGCTTCACCCCAAACAGGTGTTGTACCATTACGAGCTTCTGTTGTTGCTGTCATTGCATCATATGTAATCTCAACGTAAGGATCAGCTGGTTCCCATGCATCTGATTGAAGAATTTTTTTTGAAACAGTTGCTAAAAAATCAGTCATCATTGCAGGTAATTCAGTTGCAGTAAAAAAAGTTATTTTTAATTGCACAGGAAATAGACGTCGAGGCATAGCTGCAGGAATTAAAGTTTTTCTAAATAAAATTTATTCAAAAAAAAATAAAGATAAAAGAGAAACAATTCTTTTTGAATTAGGTGACCTATTCAGAATTGTGAAGCCAAATATACCATGTTGTAGAGCAAGTCAAAATATGTCGAATGGTATATAGTTAACCTTATTTTAATAAGATTTTGAAAAAATTAGAATCAATTTACTGATAGACAACTATGAATCCAAAGATTGATCAATTACTGATCATTGTAATCCTTGATGGTGAGTCTCCATGTCTCCGATAATGTCGACTATAAAAGATGTGACCTTTCTCAGAAATTGCTCGCAATGTAGTAGTACAAAACGCATCATTTCGCAGTTCTCTGAAATGAGTACATGATATCTAAGATAGCTTTGTATTGAGAAATCTTAACCAATTTTTACATCAATTTTTCTCTTTTTATATCGTATTTTGACTGTTGAAAATCAAACTCTGTTGCGAAATAAACATGATATTCTCGGAACCAGTATAACAAATTGCATTGAATAGTTTGTATTTTAACTAAATATTTTTTTCACCAAACTTTGATTCGTAGAGTACCACAGGACAAAATTCAGGAAAAAACCGGCTCAGAAAGCGTGCAGGTCGAATTTCGATGGAAAAATATTTAGCTAAAATACAAGCTATTCAATACAATTTGTTATACTGATTCCGAGAATATCATGTTTATTTCGCAACAGAGTTTGACTTTCAACAGTCAAAATAAGATATTAAAAGAGAAAAATTGGTTAAGATTTCTCAATGCAAGGCTATTTTGGACATCATGCACTCATCTTAGAGAATTTCGAAATGATGCGTTTTGTACTACTATATTGCGGGCAATTTCTGAGAAAGGTCATATCTTTTATAGTCGACATTATCGGAGACATGGAGACTCGCTATTTGTGAAAAAATGGTGACAAATCATTGAACAGTTGCATTTTTACCTATTAATTATAAAATGATCGGAGACTGATATCAAGGATTAGAATGATCAGTAATTGATCAATCTTTGGATGCATAGTTGTCTATCAGTAAATTGATTCTAATTTTTGTCAAAATCTTATTAAAATAAGGTTAACTATATACCATTCGACATACCTTGACTTGCTTTACAACATGGTATATTTGGCTTCACAATTCTGAATAGGTCACCTAATCCGACAGAATCTTTGATATTTACGATGGTTTAAATTCATCTTCGTCATGTACTCCTTCACTGACAAAATTCTTTAATAAGAATAAAATAAACAAATAAACAAATGAAAATGTATGATCAAATAAAAATTTATTTACTTTCGTTGGAACACCACGTTGTGTAACAGATATTGAAAGAAGTAAATGGCCACAAGATGATCCAATATTTTCCGGATTAACCAATTGAGCCCATTTTCGTTCAAATGCATGTTCTTTTTCATTATATACTGTTGACACATCCAATCGAAAAATTCCTATTGGTGTTGTATCTGTAAATGTACTAACTATTCTAACGGCATTGTGAACCTTAACAAATAATAATAATCATAATAATAAATATGAATATGATTTATGATCAGTAAATGAAATAATTATAAGATCACTCAATTTAATGATTGATCATTAGATTACTTAACCTTTTGAGTACCGGATTATTTTTATATAATAAAAATTTTTATAATTTCAAACTAACGTTTATGTCGCAAAAAATATCACAAAGTACATGAATTAAAATGCTCGTAGAGTGTGATAGTCTTTAAAACAACCCATAAGACACAATCCTACATCACATTCAATACATTCATACGAAGTATCTCTTCTCACAGTATTGGCACAAACGTAACATTTTCTTCTTGGATTTAGTTGAATCTCTGTTGATTCAATGCGCGAAGGAAAATGTTATCAAATGTGATCAATTGATCAGAACCTTTACTATAGATAACACTCTTCAATGACTGTGTTAATATGAAAAATCCTGTTGATAACGATTATTCTTTCTTGGGAAATGTTGTCCAATGACTTATGTTCTAACTCATTGAATTACATAGTGATCGATAGAAATATTAGGGAACAAACAATATTCATTGCTAGGTATAGATAGTCTTAACCGTACAAATATCCTAAACGCTAATATTCATGTAATTCATATCATAAAATAATCAAACGATCATGTTTTCTAAAGTTATTCAGACTCTAAACTATCAGGACGCGAATTCGCGTCGCCGGTACTCAAAGGATTAAACGGTCAGTTATTAATTAATTAGGTTTGTAAATAAATTCTAAAATCAATAAATATAATTTATTAACAGTCGATTATATTAAAATGTCAGTGTCCATATAAAAATTGAAATGGTTTATAGAGTGTATCACTTATATTCTTCTTTTCCTTTCTCTTCAGCTGTTTTCGATATGTTCTTGTTGTTTTCATCTACTGTTTTTAATCTACATATACTCTGTGAATAAGAATAATCACTATTTTAATTCTTCTTATTGCTCATTATCTAAAATAAAGGAAAAGAAGCTTATTGACTTCTTCCCTGGTCATTGTCTTTATCTAATCTCATGTTTAAATATCTAGTTATTCTAAAATAAAAATAAGATATTTGTAACTATGGAAGTAATACAAATTTCTCAATATAAAAACAATATATCAGATGAAGAGGTGATGGAAGAAGATCATGAAGTAGATGAAAATAAAAGAAACCTAAAAAAAGAGGGAACCAAAATGTTGAATTACAAACAAAACGCATTCGATAATGGATGGTTCAAATCAAATGAGGCAACTAATAAAGCAATCAAAGATGATGAATCATTTCGAGAACGCAATGTTTTAACAATTTCTTCGAATATCATTAATAATTGGTTGATCGAAAGAGATTCATTCTTATTTAATGCAAGAATATTTGCTATAGAACTAACAATATCTTCAAAATAATGGATTTTACCACATCAGTAGACTAAATCAACAAAATTTATTGAAAAAATATTATATACTAGCTCGTGATTTACAATCAATTACACAAAAAGAATTTAAATAAGCACAACAAAAAAAAATCGATAATGTTTAATCAATTTAAAAAATTATTTTTATATTTAATCTATGAAAATAGAGAATGATTTACACTGAAAAACATCGAAATGCAACTGTCTAGCTTTTTTTTTAAGAATTATATATGCAAACACGTTGTGGGTATGACTATTCGTTTGGAATATTGTAAACTACTAGTAGCAGCAAAGATTAAATTAGCTTTACTAATACAATAATTCGATTTTCATTTTCTTTTTTTTTTCAATTATTCTTTAAATTTCTTCTTATTTATCCTTTGATTCTGTGATTTAGTTAAATTTATTTTCTACTAGTAAAGCTTATTTTTTTTACTGATCATTTCATCTATTTTACTGACTACTTAAATGATAAAAAGAAAAAAATTTACTTTGACAATAATAACTTTTTCCATAAATTTTGTAGCTGGTAGTATAAAATCAAATGTGAAGAACTAAAAAATAAATATATTTTAATATTGATTTTTCTTTTTTTTTTTTTTAGAATATTTTACTTCACCAAAATATGGTGAACTACAAGATTTTTGTACACTTGTATATCGTTTTTGATTATCAATTTGAATGCTAACATATGGATTAATATCAACTCCTGGAAGATCTCGTGCTTGTATAATATGTATTATAACTTGCCATTCGATCATTTCATATATATCACCGATATATCGACCCAAACTAAAATTCAATTTAAATCATAGAAAATTTTTTTTTTTTTTTTTATTATAAAAATTAAATCCTTTTTTTTTACCTTTTTTCTAATAATTCTAAATTAATATGTTCCATTTTTATCTTTGCAATTTCATCAGCAGGTTCAAAGTTTTTTTCAGACTCTTGAGCTACTTCGAAATCTGAATCACTATCTGTATCAGTATCAGCATCATCTGCATGACCGGCTAATTTTCTACGAAGTTTTGTTCTATAATAGAAACAAATAGAAATATGGATTTTGATTGATATTAATTTAAATAATTACAATCGACCATGACGTTTTGAATGCACATGCCTATATCGATGACCACCATGTCGTCCTTCATCATCAAATATATTTCTCCAATCGATCAACTCATTTGTATCACCATAACCTATTGTAGCAAGTTGATTATCAATATCTGGTGATGTATAATAAAGTTTAAGTTGTACAGTTGATGGTAATAAGTAATGATTTGGATCAGATAAATTTTCTTCAGGTAAATCAATATATTTTGAATCAATTAAAGATTCAAGCATTAATTCAAAAATTGCAATCAATTTTTTTCGTTTTTTATTCGCATTTATCGTATGAAATTCGATGCGTAATTTATCATCGGGTACTAACACAGTTCCTAAATTGAAATGAAATTTCTTTGGTTTGTTTCCACGTGCAATAAAATTTGCTGTACCATCACGTACACGTACATTATTTGACCAGAGATTAATACCTTTAATAGAAAATTGTAAATCAATTGTAATCATTCAAAATTTATATTGAGCAAAAATAAAATTATTATTCATATTAAGGCCCGCCCCCCCCCCCCCACTCAAAAATCTATCTCAGCCCAGGAAAGTTCAAATGGGCTGAAACTTGGAGCATATGTTGAGGCTGAAGTGAGGAGGCTGTGATAAAATTTTCAGCTCGATACCCTGATGTTTGACAGAGATATGAACCGAACAAGGACCAAAAATAGCTCGTTTGGCAATCCATTTTTCTTTGTCCAGGCTCTTTCAGTATATTTAATTTTTTTTTGTTTGAAAGAGCATCTCAGGGTGCAGTGCGATACAGAGTCCTTTTTTTAAATTCTTACTTTTTTAGCGAAAAAAGGGAATCACCAGTTCAGTGAGTCAAAAAACGCGCCAAAAATGGGTGTCTAATTACATAAATGTCTGTATATATAATAAAAAATAAGGCTTAATTAAAAAAGAACTCTGTACTGTACTGCATCTTGGCGTGCTCTTTCAAACAAAAAAAAATTAAAATATATCGAATGAGCCTGGACAGAGAAAAATTGGATTGCGCGGTTCAGAAAGCCTAAACTGAGAAAAAACGAAAAACATTTTTCGTTTTTTTTTAAAATAAGCATATTTTTCAAGAAGAGCTTAACAAAAATCATCGAAAACTTTGGCAAAAAACGAGGTGCCGAAGAAAAACCAATGTGATTTCTGAAAGAGCAGAAGACGGGCTATCTCCCGATGCATTTATCTCAATTTCGATAATTTTGACGAAAATTGATTTTTTTTGAGTGGGGGGCGGCCTTCAGATATCATATTTTTGTTTTCTTACATTTTGTTTTGTATGATGATTATCCGTAACTTCTTTTGAGTTGTTTTTTTTTCAAAGAATTTATTTTCATTCATTTACATATATATTTCGTATATTTAAAAATATTTAAATTTAATTTAAGAAAGTCAATGAAAATTTGCTTTATAAACATAAAATATCTACGAGCGATTTCAACATCGTTGCTTACAAATAAACAATAGTATGAAAGAGCAATGTGATAGATTAAGCAATTATATACCCATTATCTATACTTATCGTACAGAATATTCGAAATGTATTTCTAGGCAAACAAAGTAAATAGGGATCGATGATGAATGAGACAATCTATATTAAATCAAGGACAAAAAGAAAAGAAAAACTAATGCGACATTCACAATACACTATTAAAAATCAGCATTTCTATGTCGTACGTTTGTTCGCATCACCATTAGTGTACCGTGATATTCATCAGATGCGGCGGCAGTAGTGCTTACGACTTTTGGCTCCAGCTATCAACGATTCTAGAAAGCGTTTTCTATTCAAATTCGAATTACTCATTAGAAAGAATTCAAATTAACCGAGAATAAAACAGTTTCAGAATATATTTTACTAATGAAAATTTATCTCATAACTAATACCACTGATATATCGAGTACGTTATACTGGTGGTAGTTTCTCAATATTTATTGCATGAATTATTATTCATTTAACAATGGATTCTTAAATCCATTAAAAAAATAAGTTTTTGTATAATGTTCATATCATGAAATAAATGAGTATGATTTGAAAAGAAAGATAAATTAGGAAATGAATAATTTTGAAATCAAAAAACATTATTTTTGATGTTATGTAATAATGGTAGTGAATAGATATGGACGCTGCAAGGTCAAATTACATGTTCTAGTGCTGTCACACCGTCCATGTAAATAAATCCTTTTTTTTTTCAAGTAAAAGCAAAAGAGTGCGTTGTTAGTTTTCATTTGTCATTTTTTCTATATTGATTTATTATCTTCTCTTTTTCTATATTCATGTGTTATTTAATAGATACCTCGAAATATGACTTTAGCACTCAGTAACGTTATATTTTCATCATCAATAAGTTGTGTTGTTGGCACATCAGATATTGATTGATTATCATTTTCACCAATAATTTCTAATTTAGAATTGGAAATATCAATATTAGAAACTTTAAATAAAAATATTATCAACGCCATTCTATTTTGTATGTTAATATATTAAACATAAGATGTTTGTAAATGCTACTTGTAAGTTTATATAAATAATAATACTTCAATGAATAATAAAATGTATAAATCTAACAATCAAAACACTATATGAAGAAAATGATGTACGTACAGGTTGTATATATATACTGAAGAAAATTGTATAATGAATATCTTATGAATAGTATCAACAAGGCAATAGGCGAATATAAGATTTTTCGTTCTCTCTGCTCTACTGGTTTTCTTTTATGTTTTCTTGTTTTGTTTTTGTTAACTTAGGACACTTTTTTGCATCTATTCAAGCTCCCAAGCAAAACAAAGAAAACGACTTGTATATCAATTTGTTTTATTTTGATAAGAAATACAAATGTCAGAAGTATTTATAGTCAAGTGGTTTGTTGTTCATCAAAGAAAAAAACATTTTACTATGTGATCGATAATAAGTATACAAAATTACTATGAAGCTATTCAGGACAAATATTGATTCGAAAAAAAATATTTAAAATATAAATATCAATCGAAATATTAAAAATTAATATATGGTTGTTTTTTTAGAATCACCCATTTTTCTTTGATTCATTTTTATACATTGCTATGCATGACTTGTTTTGAATAAAGAGATTGGAAAGAAAAAAACATATTAACAACATCCTAATTATCCATGTCACTTTTTTACCCCGCAAACACTTTGGTTTTTTTGTTATTTATATTACAAAAGACACATCGCAATTAGTGGAGATAAATAATGACAAATTCAAATGATTGTTGATCATAGAAACCATGAATAGTTTATTTTTGAATAAATATTGAAAGATGGATCGAAAATTCACTAAATTGGCTCGTAGGCACGGTTCCATTCAAGTCTTTTTCTATTGTTACCGAGTTTCTATCGTTAACCTAATATGAGTTCAAATGATGAAGATCAGTTCATGTAGTTTCCTCGCAGAATAAAAAATAATGCCTTTAAAATATAAAGTTTTTGTATGCTTAGATGTAGCAGAATTGAGAATCTCAAACAGTAAGTTAAATTTTCTTTAACGTCAAAAAATAAGATAAACATGATTGATTTAAGGTGATGAATATTCAACGGGTATCGATCATAATTTTGTTGATCTTGTTGTTTCATCTGAGTAAGTGTCTTTTTTTTCTATTAGAAAAAGATTTAAAATTGATTAAAAATTTTTCTTTTAGTAAAACAGCCGAATCCATTCATGTGAAAATAATCATATCCATAAAAGAGTCAATAAAATCAGTTTTTGAATTGAAATATATGAAATATTTCCATATCGTTGCTAATTAATAATTCATTAAATATACTAGTATAACTATTCGTTTTTATCAAACGATGTTAACAAGAAACAATAATAGACATGTTCTGAATAGTGACAATATATAAATACGAAATCAATTTCAAGAAAGATCCGAGTTGACAGATTGAATTTTGTTATGATTCAACAGATTTTCTTTTGTATTATCGCAGAAAAACGAGATTTCTAAAAATTGGCTTAGTTGTATTTGAGAATGTTGGTGTGGGTGTAAAGAAGAAAACACCCATATTCACATCCCCACATCCATACCTACATCCACCCACACCCTCTTAAACAATGTCGAAAATGAATTCTCATCAAATAATTCTTTGCTGATGCATGGAGATTATTTTCTGTCCTCTTCTTATTTACGACTCTGGAGAACAAAAGTCAGGAAAATACATACGAGATTGATGAATAGTTATTCGAAAGGATCTTATTGAAATGACGATCACCTCCATTCTGTGAAAGCTGGGTGGTTAATTATCAGTGAACTATCTGACTTCTGTCGATAGACTTTAAATATACAAAATCTAATCATCAGAATGTATAAAATCTAAACCATATAGAAATTATTGGCGGCTGTTGTAACTTGGGGTATGGGTGTGGATATTGGGTGTGAGTGTAGGTGAGGGCGCAAGTGAGGGTATCGTATAGGTGTCAGTGTAGATGGATGTGGGTGCGGGCGTTGTTGAAGTGAATATCCATCACTGTAAAAGAAAGCGTAGAATAATAAACCCTTAAAAGGTTTATGAAAGGGTTTATGAGATGTTATCACACAGTACAAGAGTTTAGGAAAGGGTTTAGGAGAGGATTTAAAGAGGCGCTTATGATGAAAATATACAGGTGTGCCGTTGAAAACCAAAAATGTTAAAATATGATAAGGATCAGATCCAGATTTCATAATGACCAAATTGTGGAATAATTTGAAGGAATTTTTTTCACGCACGATATACTCCCTGGAGTGAACAATAAAGATTAGTATATGATATAAAAAATTTAATCTTCCTGAGTCACTATTAAAAAAAAATAACACTTTTGAAAAAATTCTAATTTATGGGTGAAATGCCATTTCTTACGCTAAAATTAGAAAAATACACCCTACTGCAAACAAAATCATAAACCCTTTTCCGTAAATCTCAAAATAAAAAGACAATCGTGTAAATGTCGCCCCACTTGTATGATTCCGAGAAGAGAACATTAAATAGAAGGTTATTGGCCAAGTGTAATAGAAATCTAATAATAATTCGCCCAGCAGGAATTTGATACTGAACATTTATTTATTCTTGTAGAATAAGTAAAAAACGGAGGAAAATGAGTACCAATGGATCCGCAGTGAAAAAAAAGAAGTGACAGTAATATTTTCTTTTTAACGCTGACTAATCGTCATGATACATAAGAGCAGAGAGAGCTGTGCATTGTACAGAAGAAAATTGAAGAGCTGCATTTCAACTCGAAGAAATAGTATACGAAGAAAGTGAAAAAAAGAACGATTAAGAGCAATGCTACATGGATAACAGCATTGTTATGCTGTTAAAGTTAGCCATAAGGATGTGTCACTGTTATATTGAAAAGAAAGCATATATTTACAAGAGAATTCTATTGCTTAATAATACATATTGAAACATGCCTCGAAAACAAAAAGTTCAAGGTTGTGTACGCCAAGATAGGTTTCGTGAAGGTGTTCATAAGTGTTCAGCCACCCTATCACTTCTTTTTCGAAAAGGGTGTGGGTGTGGGAGGGTGTGGGTGCGGGTGTTGGTGGTGTGTGGGCGTGGGTGTGGGTTGTGAGTGTGGGTATACTCGAATTGAGCACCCACACCCACACCCTTTCCTTCACATAGATTTTCCACTCTTTTAGCGACCAATGAAAATATATATTGCCGCTAAGGATCCTACTATAATCGAGAATGAGAACGACTCGGAGGGACAAGATGATAAAAATGCAGTTGGATCGCTGAAGTTAGATATTTGGTCTATCTTGAAGGCACATAGCTAGAATGTTGTGGGTGTGGGATATGTGAAGATCTTATAGTCAATCACACCCAACACCTATAACGATTTGACTTTTCTGATTGTAAAAATAATAAGGTTTTATCGTTCATCCAAACGATCATCTAACGATTGCAGACATAAGCGAGCTTCCATTAATTCTTGAAAACATTATAAGTCAATCATGTTCCATCAGATGAAACGTTGACAATGTTTTCATAGTATGATCTTTAACTATTTTCTTGATCCACCTTTGATAATTCTAAAAACGATATGATTTTGTAGCCCTTGAAAAATGCTATCGAACCAGCTGTAATAGAACCTCGTTACTTCTGATTTTATATGTGCAAGGTTGATCTGAAAAACTCATTTAAATGATGAATTTATGGTTGTGGAAATCCTTAAATATACCAGAAGGGTAGCTCGAATCGGATATCAAAGTACTCGCCGTGAAAAGTTCTTGCATCCTATATATGATTGTGATGAGTTCAGTTTGAAATGTGCTATAAGTCTCTACCCTTTGAAATCTATATTTTGCAAATTATCGGGCGATCATTATATTCAACAGTTTTGAATACAGTTTTAATGTAAGAAGATTCGTATGTTCTCGCATGCGAAAATATTAAGCATGTACATGTACAAACTACCATGCGTGTAAAAGCGAATATAGTATACTCTCTGACGCGTTCATATGCATGCCGCATAATAATGATTCGTGCTTGTACACTACAGGTTAGTATATAATAATAACATGTATTCTGAGAGAGTTCTTTCTCCCCTATCAAAATTCATTGTTATATCTAAGAAGACATCTTCGAAAATCCTGCCTAAATAACATTGGATATTATAGAGCAGTGTTTTGTTCTCTGCTTGTGATGGCATACCATTAAGAGCAAATGTACTGCTGGAATCATTGAGGTAAACAGTACGTTTGAGTTAGAAATATTCCTGGTTTAAGCAGATCATATTTTCCCTTATCTATAACATTCAAAGTACAAGAATTTTTTGATCCCTAGGATCTTGATACATTATCTATGTTGACTGATGAAAGCTGTTTAGATTTGTTGGAAAAAAAACTATCAACGATTAATATTTAAAAATTTGTAGTATTCACTATCATTAATCCACACAATCAATGAATATTCCTGATAAAGTACTTGATGATATTGATTAAGACTTAAACAACGCTTTCGGAACCTATTCCAAACAGAATTTGAAGTACATCGTATTTCTATGACAGTTAACGATTACAACCGTTACTGTTAGATAAGCATTTTCATCCAGTCAATCAGATTTCTTTTGATCAATAAATTGTTTTTTTCGGAATTTATTTCCAACCAACTAGGTTTCATTTATTACATTCGCTTCATCAAGCAAAATTTGTAGCGGTTTTCAATCACTCAACTAGATTTCTTTCCTGATTTTATTTTCGAAAAATTAGGTTTCTTATGTTCTAGCTTTGATAGAATTTACATCAAACTCCTAGAACAAATATGGTTGGCGGGATGAATTTCTAAGCAATGCACACTGAGAGAACAAAATTGTATAGCGTTAATGATGAAATGTCATGAGATATCAATGGATCCATTGACGTATGAGAGAAGTATAAATAGCTGGAATGAATCTTTTTACTTCGTTATCTGAATTCATCAAACATTTTTTCTCAAGCAGAGACGTAATGAGATCATTTTTCTTCATTTAATAAATATTAGTTTTCAACGAGACATGATCTTTTAGTCATTCTACAGGGTAGGAAATAATATTATTCCGGGGGAGGGGGTGGGGGATACCGCTATAATTTCAAATAGAAGACATAATGACTTTTATATCAAATGACAGCCCGTCAAAAATGGAGTTTATTGGTACTAAATAGTGAAGATTACGAAAAATTTAATGTTCACCTTAAGAAATTTTACACTTTGGTTTTGGAGTGGAAAATTAAGATGTCACTAATTCAAAAATGGAGTCAAATTTTTTCTTGAGCATTTTTACATGATTCGATAGAGTTCGTTGAGCTCTATAAAACTAAATATATTAAAAAATTTTCAAGGAGATTTTTGCGATAAAAAATTCGAAAACGTACTTGGAAAATCTTAAAAAATATTATAAAAATTCATATTTTTTATATGAAAGAAAAACACTCGATTTCTCAAGGATTTCGATCTATACTCATTTGGCGCAGTTTTTCACGCTGCATTAAATGAGTATAGTTCGAAATGCCTAACGTAGTAAAAATAATAAAAAAAAAGCTAATTCTATTGGAAAATCGAGTGTTTTTCTTCCATATAAAAAAGATGAGTTTTTCTAACTTTTTTGTAAGATTTTCCAAGTAGTTTTTATTGTAAAAGAATGACTTTAAAAAAATTTTAAGATATACAGTTTTATAGAGCTCGACAAACTCTATCGAATCATGTAAAAATATTCAAGAAAAAATTTGACTCCATTTTTGAACTACTGATACCTTAATTTTTCACCTCCCCAAAAAAAAGTATAAAATTTCTGAAAATTCCTTAACTTCGACATTAGAAATTTTTCATAATCTTCACTATTTAGTACTAATAAACATCATTTTTGACGGACTTTCATTTGATATAAAATTCATTATGTCTTCTATTTGAAAACATAGCGGTACTCCTCTAGAATAATATTATTTCCAACCCTGTAGATGACTAGAACTCACTACTTTTCAATTAAAATAAGAAGATTAAAGATGACTTATCAAATACGATGCCGTAGTCAAACATTGTTCTTTTAATCATTATTATAAAAGTTGTCAATAGGATTGACTTTTCAACATGATTAAGACACTCCAAAAGATGACATCAACAATTTATAAAATATTCTTCGATGTGCATGATCTCTCCATCTTTCTCATTTTGTTATTAATAAATTAATAAATAACGTTGAATATTGAGTATTAAAGTTGATTAGTTGTCAATATCGAATTCTATATAAATCAATTTTTTCAATATATCTATTAGACGACAAAACACATTCTGTTAAAACGAGCAATGTTGCATAAATGACATTATTTGAAAAGATATCATTATCATTGTCATGAAGAAACTAATCTCTCTTAACTTATTAAGAGATATATGACCTCCTTTCATTACTCTACAAAAAATAAGCTAGAGACTAACCCTTTGAATTTCTCATGTCATCTACAAGATGACATGCATATTGTAATATAGAAATTTTGCATTCTATCGTCTTTCTACATGAAACATATCACATGTGTTCAAAGAAGTGCGTATATTCTTCGCTGTAGAACTTTTTTTTGTTTTTTCGCACTGAACTAGTGTAGCTAGAATTCGTGTGCAGGTGACTATCTAAAGGAGATTACAGGGAAGAGAATAATCTAGATTTTCTTCAACTTTGTATAGGATCGGAGACAATGTCGGGATTGAAAAGGTTAAAGAGTATTGTTTTTATGATGAATCTGAAAATAAGTTTTGCCTTATCACTCGGATATTAAGAAAAAAAACAATTTCTTTTTCCTACCTTTAGACAATTATAAACGTTGTGTTTATTCAAAAGAGAAATTCTTTTTATAGTGTGTATGTAAACATATTGAGGTAAGATAAGCAATATTATATATATAGGTAAGTAGAAGATTATTTTCTATGAACATCGTCAGAGAAAATAGACAAATATCATCTTGTTTAGTTATTCATTTTTTTAAAAATTATCAGTTCTTCTATTCCTTTTTTTCAATTCAAAACTTTCTTTTTTGTTTTTCTATAAATAATAATTAAATACAAGAATTTCTTTCAGTTAATTTATTATTTCTAATATATAAAGAATTAATAAAAACTGTATGTTTGTTAGAATAATATACATAAAATTCATTGTCAAATATAATTTGATCAATAAGTCTTATCTATATGCTCTTACATTCGTATGCATATGTATTAAAAAAAAACTAACGGAGTCTCTGCAACATTCCATCGCAATGCTACATGCAGAACTTTTGTTCCACTTGTATAATAATAACGAACGCATTTGAAAGATGTAATAAACATGTATATTTCAAAAGTTGTTTATGTAAATGCGGAAATCTCGTTTGATTTATCTAAATAATTTTGATATTTTTCTCAATATGTATAATAATAATAATAATAATAATAACAATCAGTTAATATTAAAAATTATAAGACTTAACATTTGAGAAAAGAAAAAAGAAAGATATTTAGATAAATATTAATTGTCATTTTGGTCTGTTCTCAACTTTAAAAATGTCCGAATATAATATCTTATCAATGTATGTCAAAGTATTAAATGTTATTAATATTAAAGCTTAGTCCATATTATGATGAAAGATTAGCGTTAGAATGACGTTCGTATTTATTAATTATAAAGATATATAGAAACATTTCTTTCTGCAAAAAATTAATAATTTATATATCATTTCTCATCGAATAATGTAGTAAGTATAAAAGAATTCATTAGAACTACTTTAAAATGTATTAGAGAAAAAAAAAAGTCTCTTTTGCTATGTTTTTCTAATAGGTGTGTCACTATTTCTATGTCATATATTTTAAAAGAAATCTCATTTCAACAGTTTTTTAAATTTAATTAGAATACTTCTAAATAGTAGTTTCGAATCGGAAAATATTAATGGATAGCTAATTTGTAGATAAAAATTTGTAAATTTTTGTGGTTTTTTGCATGAAACTTAAATAGTAAGATCTAAACTTTTTTCTTCTTTTTCATAAAATGTCTCAAAATTAAAGAAAAAGCAATTTTTCACATAACTTATTTCTTTACACAACGATTTCTTTCATTATACAAAGGTGTCTGGAAAGTAATTCTCTGTTTTAAATTCTTTGTTATTCTTTAACTAAGAATACATATAGTAACAATTTGTTCTTACTATTTTGAAGCATATTTGATGACATTTCGTTCTCGATAAATCAAAATAGTTAATCGTTTAGTTGGTCAAGATTAAGTACGAATTTCGTCTAGATATGAGGTGGCGCTAAGTAGCCGATGAACCGTTCAGTTATTTTGCTGGACTCTAGCCAAAAGATCGTAGTTAAACAATTTTTTTTTCGATATTTTACTAATTTATCGAGAACAAAATGTCATAAAAACATGCTTTAAAATAATAATAAAAAAATTGTTACTATATGTGTTTTTGTTGAAAGAGTAACATATGATTTAAAATAGGGAGTTACTTTAAACAAACAGGTATTTGTGATGCATTGAAGTAATGAGAAATGTGTGAAGTAGAACTTTAAAAAGACTACTTGCCTATCTGCCATTTTCTGAAACACGATCTAGAAGGAGTATTGGATTATAAGGATAGAATTGGGTACCACCACTCCTACAAACCGTGACAGACATCCCGAAATGCTATTCTTTTAATACTCCGTCAAGCGGCTCCATCGTATTTCACATTTTAATCCCGTAGGGATTGCGTTCAAAGCTTGTTTTATACAAAAGACAAATCTTATGAGGTTAAATTTTCGCTAAAAATGAACGAAATAACATATGTATGTTAATTAGATTCATTCCAAATATTCTTGAGTAAAAACTATTTTTCTTTTCTTAATATAACTGCTTTTGCTCACATATCTTCACAAGCAGGTGAAGTCTGAGAACATACGGTGTACATCTGCACTTGAAACGTCACGTATTACGCATAGAAATGATGTTGAAGCTAAGAAGAGAGAATTGCTTGAATATAACGAAAAGATGTGTAGTAAAATAGTTGCTCTAGATGAGTTTTCAACTTTTATATCTGTTTATAAAACAATCTTTTAGATATAGAAAATAAATTTTTCTCATAAAATATCATTAGATCTGCTAGTGACAATATATAGAATTGAGATGTCAACATCGACTACTTCAATATTTACATTTGTTGCACAACAAATGAGCATTTATTTTGGTATACCTATGCTTATCGGTGGTGTACTCGGTGGAATTCTCAATATTATTGTATTTCTTAGTCTTCAAACATTTCGACAAAGTTCATGTGCATTTTATTTAACTATTATGTCAATTTTTAATGTTGGTCTTTTAGCTGCTGGTCTTTTCTCTCGTATTATGATCAGTGGATTTGCCATTGATTGGGGACAGAGTTCACTTTTCTATTGTAAATTTAGATTGTTACTTCTTACTACATTTACACTTATGTCATTAGTATGTATTTGTTTGGCAACAATTGATCAATATTTTGCTACATGTTCTTATCCTCGTTGGCAACAATTGTGTAATTTTAAACTTGCCTATCGTTTAATCATCGTATTTTCTTTCATTTCAACAATACATAATATTCAATATTATCTATTTTATAATCAAATTCAATCACCTTTGACCGGCAAAGTTTCTTGTATAATTACAAATGATATCTTTTCACGATATGTTAGTTATTGGTTTAATCTTGTTTGCATAGGCTTTCTACCAATTATTATTACAGTTTCTTTTGGTTCATTGGCATATTATAATGTACGACAATTAACTTATCGAACATTGCCACTTGTTCGTCGTGAATTAGATAAACAATTGACAGCAATGGTTCTTGTACAAGTTGCTATGAGTTTCTTTACTCTTACACCATTTAATATTTTGAGTGCTCTTACATTAAATAAAAGTATTATGAATGATCAAATTGCTGCAGTAAAAATACAAGCTTCACTTACTATTGGTATCCTTCTTTACTATCTAACTTTTGCGGTAAGTATAAATTGATTAGATTATGTTTAATGTTCTATTTCTTTTCATTATTTATTTAAATATTTTTAGACTCCATTCTACATATATATCTGTGTATCGGAACGATTTCGTCGGCAATTGATCTATGTCTTATTTGAGATTCATTTGAATCGATGGCGACGACCAAGAATAGTTATTAATCAAATATCACCAGAATTCTAAAGAATAGTGACGAACAATAATATTGAACATTATTTAATTGATAAATACATTCAAATTCTTATATAATTTCTTTGAATTTATGTCAAATTAAATAAATTTAACACTATAAAATACAGAAAGTCTACTATAATGTAGAGTCGGAACCGGACAGGTTTTTTTTCTATCCGACCGAATGAATTTTACAGACAAAAATTCAGCGAAAATAATCGGCTATGAAAGTATTTGTTCGTGAAGAGGAATTGAATATATTCACGTGTAGAAATCCGAATTAAGAATAATCAATTTACATTTACAAAAATTTAATAAATCCAAAAATAAATTAACAGGGAATCGTCACGTCTAATCCGAACTAGAAACTAACACTTAGAAATTAAACTCTCACCATCATATTTTATAGCAAGGTACGTCAACCTTTCGAGTCCAATATCGAAATAATTTAGGTATTTAGATCAAATCTATGTTTCAGCTTAATTTCAAAAACGAAAAAAAAACAACAAACAAGTTTATAACAAATCTAATACAAAATTGTAAATATTTGTTTTTCTTGATTCAAGTAGCTGTCTAAGTAGAACAAGAAACTAAATTATTTGATTTAGTTTAAATATTTCAACTCTACTATAGTGCAGTGTTATTTTAAGATATCAATGAATAAAGTCTTAATAGTTGTAAGTCAAAAAATGTTAATATTACAAAAAACTAGTTTCTTTCAAATTTGTCGAACTGATGATTGTTGTAGTATACTGTACGAAAGATGACTTGCTTGATTAATATTGTAAAAATATTCATTTTCATACGTACATATAATACGCTTATGACATGAGCAGATTTACCGTCTAACGAAATATTCTCCTTTGGGAATCAAATCTCTGACAAAATATTTTACTTTCAACTGCTCCTGCTCTTAGAAATATTAAAAAAAATCGTATTTTTCTACACTAGAATTCAAATTATAATCTCAAAAAGTTTTCGTTTTTGTTTGATCAATTTACTGGTCATGAGTTTTGAGCAATTAATTGATGAGAGAAGGAAAATTAATATTCATTTTTAATCTTAAGTAAATGATCGATAATGGTCTTTTCTCAATACAATATTTGAATTGTTAAATGACATAAATTTGACTCTTTTTATGAATGAATGGAAACATACAATACGATTTTTGATGAAATCATTGATAGGACATTAGTTTGCAATTGTTCATCTTCGGAATGGCATATGATAGTCGTGAAAAGTCGTCGAAAATGAGGTATATATTGAAACAGATGAGATAAATCATTTAAATTACAAGCAGTATTCTTAATGGATAGATTCTTGACTGATAATGAGATCAGTGAATTATCAATCAATCATATTTCCCAATAGAAAGTATAACTTAATATCTAATGAGTGAGTTTCAATAATCTCTAAATAGTATTAACTACGCGTAAATTTTTTTTTTCTCGACTTCTAAAATTACATTTGGACATATTGAGATGCATGAGACTTGTAGGATATTATTTGGTTCAATATATCGAGAGATTGAAAGTTTTAATAATTAATTAAATCGACCAAGAGCGAATCTGTGAGAAAGAAAAAAACTTAACTAGATTTCGTGTTTTCTCATTATCCGAAAGATAATCTTATATCACTCGATCAATAATTAATGAAAGATATTGTGGGCAAATAATGTCGAAATCACATTGGGATACTGGTCAAAATTCAATATGATAGACTTGAAAATGAATGAAGAGAAAATTGTCAAAAGAAGAATTGAGATCAAGAAATGCTTAGAGTACACAAAACAGCATCCGAAAATTCAAATCAAGTAATAGTGGGTATGGATGTGCGTATTCATCTTATTAAAACCACACCCACATCCACCATCTTTATTACGACCTAGTTCTAAGTGTACTGTACAATCTAAAAACCACTCCGATATATTAGCTCATATCCTCATTTTGAAAAGCTATCAAGTTACCACGTCACGTCATCTCAGTTACTTAGTCGATTTCAATCTGCTGCAAGAAAACTTATAACTATATGTTGGAAGTGCTACAGAAGCTAACAATAACCTCTTCCGAGAAAAACCAAACATTCTAATGCTTATAACTCTGAAGAGAAGGGTCAAAAGCATTTATTCTTGTGAGATATGTTATATCTCACTAGACTCTATCTTATGCACTGAGTTCAATTTCACAAGGGATTTATCAATTGAAAATGTTTCCTTGCTAATTCATCTATAAAATATGATGTAGAATGCATTTGAATAAAGAACCTCATGCATTAAACAAATCAAATTACTATTTAAATTTGAGATAGATTTATGCAATAAATTCATAATTTACAAGTTCATTTAGCACGATGTAAAGAACAAATAACACGATCTGTTACAAATACTGAAATTGAATCTGCAACAAAAATAATGTTTCCAATTCTAAACAGGGATACAAGATAATATGGAAAGTGGAAACGAATCACATAAACGTTTAGAATATGAATTAATCGAAGAGAATGAATGATTACGTAATGAATTATTTGATCGTAAAGATATAAATGAAGTTATGTTTGAACGTCAACAACAATGTCAAGAAGAAGTTTCAAAATATAAACATATTCATTAAAACAAGTATATGAAGGATGTGAATCAATTATTGGTAAATTATGTTTAAAATATAATAAACAAACTGAAGATTTAACAAGTCAATTTGAAAATACAGAACAAAAATAAGGCAATATCTAGTATTAGTCCTTCGTTACCGTTCTCATTTTGAAACTTCGTTACTGTTGTGGGGTCTACCTGGACCTTCGCATAGAAACTGACAAAAAATTGATACTATTGTTTTATCCAAGCTATTCATTTATGTACTATAGATTTATAAATATCCTTCTTATAGAGACTGATATGCCAGTTTTCATGGTGGCAATATGAGAGTATACAATGTCGAAAATATGTTGATCGAAACTGTGTTTATAACAGCGTTAAAAAATAATTCAATAGATAATAGATTCCATCACTGTAGTCTAGAACACAGAAGAAATATGCTCATATATTAATATACACGGTTGTCTGTAGATAAACATGGGGCATGTTTCCTTTTTATTTATCTTTGTTTTTTTTTCATGATTATAAAAACCTATAAAATTGAAGTTCCTCTGTCACAATGGTGAAGCTGTTCTTTTCTCAGTTTGAATGGGGATGTGAGGTGTAGTTGAAGAGAAGACTCACACCGATACATCCATACCCACATTTAGCTTCAGCAAGCCCAAATATATTGGCTATAACACCATTATTGTCGTGGGATTTAAGTGGATCCACCCCTGCGTTTTCTTCCTCTTAGAGCTATTCACAATTTCTAGTAAGGATATTATACAATAACAAGAGACTAGAGATTAGATAAAAGAAATGATCCGAAACAACAAATGCTAGCGTAGTACTAGATGAAAAACTGTATAGTAGGTTCATTCGGACTCCACAAAAGTAACGAAGAGTTAAAATAAAAAACAAATATTTATATTGTAGGTAAAATCAAGATTTGAATAGTGACTATTAAAATTCGATAGAAGGGTTTATACTTGATTATCCAAACAATCTTGCACAATATCCTAAATTAATAATAACACGTTCTACAATTACTCGATCAAGCATTTTTTTTTACACCAATCGTGTAGGCACTTTTATTTCGGTAAATGCTGTTCAGGTAGATGACAATGAAATATATAATCAACATCTTCACTTGCTGGACGAGCCCATATATGGCCATGCATATATCCATGTTGTTTAGCATAATCCAAATAAGCAATTTGAAATTTCATGATATACACCTTGACGATAAAGTTTCGGCCCAAAAAAAAATGTACTGTATCTAGATATGATATATAAACACGACGTGTATTTGATGCAGGACAATATTCATCATATTCTTGTACATACATACAAAAGAAAATAATAGCAACAACTTCGATTTCTTGAAAAAGAAAATATATTTTTTGTACGATATGGATAATTATCATCTGTTACTTGATGTGTGAATAATATTTCTTTAATTGTGGTTTTACTTCATATATTTTATTATAACTAGAAACTAATACACGATTTGTAACATGACATTCATCATGACAATCTTTATGAAGTAAAAATTTATTAACACGTTGTTCTAATCGTGATGATAAATCAATTACTGTTAATCTCTGTGTTATATAACGATTTTCTTTACATTCTATATTATTTTGACATATACATGTATTACATATAAAACTTTCAGATCATATTTGGTCTAAATGTAATGCATATATGATAGCGCCCTCTATTTGTTTTTCTATTTTTACACGCCAGATTTCAAAAAACAACTAAGAACCCAGTTCGATAAAGAATTATTTACTCTATCCATTGGTATTAAAGCTATATCTAGCCTCATCCAAAAATCCGAAGACCAATTACTGAGCATTCGATATTGTTTCACTTATTTATTTCATTATAGTTTGTCAGATAAGAGTCCGTATTAATAGACTATCCTCGTCTATTTTATGAACATGACGACAATTCTGTTGATAAAATGAACACAATAAATTGATATTCATTGTTAATTATATCTCTGAATGTTCATTGCATTCAATATAGAGTCTATTGACATACAAGTCTACTTGATTAGTATAAGAAATACATTATATGATTCATCTTATCATAGTTGTCAACATAAGTACGATTATAATATTTGTCCTTCATTGCATAAAGGAACATGTATCATCGAGCAAATCTTTTTTTTACAACTTTATTCGATTGATTATTTTCATGATTGAAATTTATCAATGCGTTGTGTTTCTATAAACAAGGAATAAGTGTGTGTCGTTTTGTTAATTATAATATTATTTATATATTCTCATTCCTTTGGAGAATAATAACACGCTATGGTATCGTTCAAAACTAGCCTATCAAGTTTGCAACATATTATTTACTTTATTTATTATTGAACGACTAGTCCATGAACTTGTTTCTCTCAATTTATGTTTGCAAATAGATATGTTAACTGTCTATTGGTGTGTTTAGCAGTTATCTTCTCTTGTATTGAATTGGATGAGATTAGAGAACTGTTACTACCTATGCTTATCATAGAACACGGATCATTTTGTGTCAATGATGGCATGAATGTTGTATTTTATCGATATTAGACATGTAAGTTGATTGTCCATCTAATATTTGACATAATATGTTGGTTATTAATATAATTGACTTCGTCAATAATTTTAATTATAGAAGTAGATACATCTCAAGCAACATATTTGTTTTTTTTTTTTATCGAATATTTAATTTATGATAATAGCGGCTTGGATACTTCTATTTCTTAATGTCAGTTCATTTTTCTTTGTTTAATATCTGTTCTTAACGATGTAGAGGTTTTTTTTATAAGATCTATGAGTACTTTTTCTCTTTTATCAGGCTGTCAAAACTTATGAATAGTGCGATCGATGCTTCTTATGTATCATATTTTCTTTGTTAGTAATTAATTCGTGGCAGTAAAACATAAGTGTCGATTGATTAAAAACCGTAAATTCTTCCTCTATTATAGAGTTCATTTTTAGTTTGAAAGAGAAAATTTTTTAATAGAATTTTCTTTTTTTTATTAGTGTTAATTTATAGAAATAGAACAAACATACGTCTTATGAAATTGTATGTGCTGATGTTCTTTTTTTTTCTATCAAATAGATATTTCCTACTGTACACAAAGAAATTACTCTCCAAATAATAATAACTTTGTGTAGTGATTGACGATAGATACTTTTCTCTTATATGCATGTATTCTTTTTCAGTTAAGTTCTAAATTCTTGACAGAAAATACGTATCATATATTTAATAGATATGAATACTTCTTATCTAGTACAAGTTTTTTTTTTTAATCTAATATTTAATTTATAAAGATAGTTAAATTCAAATAGTATTAAAGTATATATTTCTTATTTTCAACGAGTAATTCATCTGTAAAATAAAGAGAAATATTTCTTCTCTGATATAGATTAGTTAGATCATATTTCTTTTTTCAATTTTAAATGAGTCTAAAGTCGTTTTTTCATCATTTGAATTTTTCTTTAATGCTGACTGGAGAATATTTATATTTTCTTCTTTTTTGTTCTTGTTACATAGAGATATCCTTTAGTTAGCATATTTCCTGTTTAACTTTTCACGAAATTAAATCATGTATTCAATGATTCAAAGATAATAATATTTAGGATTCATAGTCTTCCTCATAAATATGAGGGCATATACAGTAACAGTTATTTAGAATAATGTCGTCCGGTATCTCATCAAAGCATATTCTTAGTTGTGTACGATTTTAACTTTCCCATTAAAGTTTTTTGATGTCATCAGAAGTACTGTACAATGAAGAATATGCTTCCGAATAACACTATTATAAATAACTGTTTGATTTTTTTTTTGTATTTTATCACATTTATGATAAAGACTAAGAATCTTGAACCTGCATAAAAAATAAGACATAACTTTTTAAAATGATTATTTTGTATAAAAAAAAAATGACGTGTTTCTCTACGTAGATTGATGACGAATAGGCCAATAAAAGAACAATAGAAGATAATAAACAGGTATGTCGACGATTTTTTTTTTCAATGGAATTTCATTCATTTTCTAATAAGAAAATGTCATTGTTTTTCTTTTTTTTCGCCAATTTCTATCACTATATGTATTTGTAACGAAATACTTCTTTTTCTTTGCTGTCGTCAGAAACAAAATTTGTGATGATAATTTAGTTTTTAGAAGAGACACGTGTGTGTCTTGTTGCATGTACACTTGTCTTTCAAATAAGGTATATAAATACTTCTTATTTTCTTTTCTTTCTTACCACTTATTCAGCGTCACTTACCATATTTCAGTATAAAAACGATACGAGAGTGCAAGTAACTATGTTATTCATGACGTCGTTTTGAATATTAATTTGTATGCGCAATTGTATCACTACAAGTGTAGATGTATAAACTAATGCATTAATCGGCAGTGATGGAAGGTATGAAAACGTACTCCAACTTATATTCAACTTGAAGAGATTATCAATCTAAAATTCTTCGAATTTCTCCATTCATGAGACGCACATCAAGCCATTTTCTTTGAAAAATCTTTGATAAAAGAATCAACTATTATTGTGACGAATTACCTTCAAGCTGCTTCAAGTCACTATAATTCGGGCTTGGATTAGATCCATAGAAATAATATTCGATTCTTTTATTAAAGAAAATGGCGTGATGCAGATTCTCATGATTGGAGAATCAAGATCTATCGTTTAATAATCTCTTCAAGTTAAATGACGGTAAGAGTAGATTACGACATGCTAACGCATATGATACTAATACACAAATGGAATAGATAGACAATACTGGTAAAAAACTGCGTGGCGAGAAACTATAAGACGCATGTAAAAAAAAAGGAAAAAAATTGTGGGTTTTAATCAGATTATTCGATTAATAATCTATTTGAATTACAATGACTATCCAACATATTTCTCTTAATTTTTAATGTAGCCAGTCAAATTTCTGAATAGTTTTTCTAACTTCATGACTCAATACATAGTATATATAATACTAAACCGAACTTTGATACACATCTGACATTTTGATGTACGATGTCAATTTTTATTTAAAATAAATAGTAAATATAAATAAATCTTTGTTATTTAAAAAATAAAGATATATGAATTCTTTATTTTTGAAAAATAAAGCGGAAGAAAATCTTCGTATACATAGAATATAGATAAAGCATTTATATTATCTACCTTTGTAAAATAAAGATAAAATAAATAATAAAGAAATCTTTTTTTTCTTCTATCAGAATCTGATCTTTAATTTTTATTAAGTAGTTCACAAAAAGTTATGATATGATAGATAGTAATGAAATATACAGAAAAGATTTTTCCTTATATTTCTTCATGTATCAATTTGATTTTTTAATAATATCACATATCAAAGTGATATTGGTGATAAGAAAGAATATTGATCAACATAGTCTGCTGCTACACATGGTATTTGTCTATTTAACTATTATAGAAAAAAATTTTTATTTCATAAAGTAAAGATAAATTAACATCTCTAGTTAAAATCAGATTTTATTTCTTTTTGTTTTACATGAGAAGATTATCGCCGAAGATTGATACGAAGTATGAAAATTTTTGTGTCACAACTAGAATCTATCGAGCCTAAGAATTTCTGGACCCAGATCCGATTGATAAAAATTTTTTGGATCGGGACTCGATGATGACTGAGTTTAGACATTGTAGTTAGGAAGAGTTTTATTGTTTTTTTTTTGAATATGACGAACAAAAATTCAAAAAATATTATTATATGCGTCAAAGTTTTCTTTCGATCCGAACCCGATCAATGCAACTTTGAAGATCCAGATCTAGTCAACACAAAATTTTCGGACCCGACAGGCTCAGCCGTGCAGCTTACACTTCTAAGCACGTAGCATCTATAGATTGAATTTTTCAGAGCTACGACTTTTTTGTGCTTAAGAGACCACATACCGATCGAAATTATCAATAAAAGAAAAAAGCTGATTGCAATCGAAGCAATCATTGGCAATGAAAATCTCAACTTTTCTCCCTATTGATTATCAATCAAAATCGTACGAAAATATAGTCTTTTTTGGATATGAAATCGATAATGTCTTTTGACGCTTAAGTTTTTGATAAGATTTATAACATAAATGATTGCAACATTGTCTAGATGATTGATATTGGCTATCAGACGAAAATATACTAAACATATTGAAGACTAGTACATTTTCATACTTGTATGACTACAATTTTAAGTTTTAGGATGGATCACAATATTGCTGAAAGAGTTTTTCGTTCGCTAGAGATTCATCAAGAGATATCGCAAACAGAAGTTAACGTAGATGGTACTTTTAGTAATCGGAATATCTTGGGTATGAA